TTTCTTGAATGACATTTACAGTCCTTGGTTTTAGTTCTAGGTCCATGATCCACCTTGAGTTGGTTTTTGTATATGGAGTGAGGTGGGGATCTTGTTTAATTTTTCTGCAGATAGTTTTCCAATTTTGCCAACACCATTTGTTAAAAAGGCTGTCATTTTCCCACCTAACTGATTTTACCTCTAGCTGGGCATCTTAATAATTTGTACCACCCAGAGACACTATTGTTCAAAATGTGGTTGTTAGGTGCTTCTGAGTCGATTCTGGCACGTAGTGACCCTGTCTGTGTCTAATGAAATAAAATACTGTCCTGTCCTGTCTTAGTCAGGAAGCTCCACTGAAACCTGTCTACCATGGGTGACTCTGCTGATTCGAATACCTAGCTTCCACTCACAACAACATGAAAGCCATCACAGGACAACAAACTGGCCGATGGGTGGTGGAGTATTTTAAGATGAGAGCCCAGAATTTCTGCTGGGCCTCAATTATCTCATCTGCCAAATAAAACAGCTTATAGCTTATAGCTGTCTTATTTGGCAGATGAGATACTTGAGGCCCAGCAGATAAAGAGCTCTGGTGACCTAGTGGTAAGGAGCTGCACTGCAATCCTGAAGGCACTCAGTTCAAATGCACCAGATGCTTCATATGAGGAGGATGAACAATCTCCTCCTGTGCAATTTACTGCTTCTGAAAACCTACTGGAGGGTCAGCGATGGGTCGGTTCTGACTCAATGGCATGCAACAACTACCCAAGGACTTAGGAGGGCAAAGCCAGAGTTAGGAACAGCTGCCCTAAACTAGACCCCAGACAGGGCTTAGGGGTGGGCAAGGGTTCAGCTCTCATCCTGGAGCAGACATGGCTGACCCCAAGGGCCCCCAGGAGCAGAAGTAGCTGCAGGGAAGGTTGTGTTGAGAAGTTTGTGACATGGGGTCAGGACTTGGTGGGAAGACAGTCTGCTGAGTGGCTTCTGCCTTCTACAGTGGGACGCGCGTCCTGTGGATTGGCCTGCCCTAGAGGCATGTGACCTCGGGCCAGTGCAGCGTGGGGTTGCACACTGTCACACTAGGCTCTAGGAAGTAAGATATTTTCCCATCTTCAGAGCAGTCCTTGTCCCCTCTTTCAGCAAGGTCTTGCTCCCAGTTACTGAAGTACTGACCTGTCTGTGTGTCTGCCCGTCTGTGTGTCTGGGAGCAGGGTTTGCAGGGACACCTGGATACCTCTCCCCAGAAGTGCTGCGGAAGGACCCATATGGAAAGCCTGTGGACCTGTGGGCCTGCGGTGAGTCCACCCTGGTGCTGGAGGACCCTTTCTTCCTCCACCCACATCCCTTCTAGCACCCTTTCTCGCCTCTATCCATCACTTCCCTCCACCCTCCGTCTCTCTGCTCACAGGAGGTTGAAGTTTCTCCCTTATCTCCCCAGGGGTCATCCTGTACATCCTGCTGGTTGGGTACCCCCCATTCTGGGATGAAGACCAGCACCGCCTGTACCAGCAGATCAAAGCCGGTGCCTATGATGTGAGTGTCGCTCCTCCTCTGCCTGTCCCCCGTCTCCAGGTCCCCTCACAGTCAAAGTCCATGCTCAGAGGGTCCAGGCACTAGTGGATGTCTCCCCGTTTCCCTCTCACCCAACTCAAGTACCTCTCACTCTCTAGTTCTAGGACAGGAGACGAAGAGTTTAAAGACTGACTGCGCCTGGTGATAGGTATGACACACAGAATGACCAAATGATAGGATTTCTCTTGGGGGACCTCCAAGATTACAGAAACAGCACCAGAATTGGATCAGAAGTGGGGAAGCAGGCCTTACAGTTGGCTGCTGTCTTTCCCTCTCGATATATAAAATAATAGGGAGCTCTGGTAGCTTAGTGGTAAGGAATTGTACCAGCAACACAAAGGTACATGGTTCAAATACATCAGATGTTCTGTGGGGGAAAGATGGGCAGTCTCCTCCCATATGTAGGATTTACTGCCTCTGAAAACCACTGGAGGGTTAGCTATGGGTCAGTTCTGACCTCGATGGTAAACAAAAACCACCATATAAAATAACAGCAAACACGTATTTCTCTGGGTGGTGCAAATAATCAACAATCAACAAACTGAACTTTGCCCAGAGGCATAGTGGGGGGGGAAAGGCCTGGAGATCTTCTGAAAACGAGCCTTTGGAAACCCTGTGGAGCGCAGTTCTACTCTGACACACACGGGGTACGCCGGACATCAGAGTCCACTCGATGGTGACTCGTTCTGGGTTTAACACTAGTTAGCACTCTTCCAGAGGAGCTCTGGTAGTGTAGACGGTAGCATGTTGTATAGCTAACCAAGTCTCTGGTGCTTTGGCTTGGTTTGGATGCACCAGCATCTCTGTGGGTAAAAGATGGACAGTCCCCTCCCATTAAGACAGACAGCCGTGGACACGCAGTGGAGGGTCACTGTGAGTAGGAACCGACTTGACAGCAGTGAGATTGGGTTTTGAGTTCGCGAACTCTTCTGAATGTTTTATATGTACCACTGCATGGACTCCTTGCTCCACTCGTGACATGCCCACTGCTGGCAGGTCAATTTCAACTCATAGTGACCCTAGAACACAGGGCAGAACTTCTCTTAGGACTCCCAAGGCTATAAATCTTTACGGAAGCAGCTGCCACATCTTTCTCTAAGCAGCTGGTGCATTTGAACTGCCAATCTTCCAGTTAGTGGCCAAGCTCTTAATCACTGTGCTACTTTATCTAAGGGGTCCTAATCCGTGGGAGAAATCAGACTATTCCAGAGTTAACACCTTCCGGTCAATTCTGGCTCTGCAAAGCCCTCCATTGGGTTTCCCAGTGTGTGAATCATAGTGAAAGCAGACGACCTTCCAGTCAGCAGCCCTGTGTGTAACCCACTAGACCCATCTCTGCCCTGCAGTTGGTGCCAGGAGAAGGAACAGCTGGTAGATTAAAATTCCTGTTGTTTTGGTTCATTACCACCACACCCTCAGAGATCCTTCCTATACCATTAGGACTCCTTATCAATGACATGGGCACTAGTATTGTCTCCATTTTACATGACAGAAAACTGAGGGACAGAGACACTAAGTCACATAGCTAAGAAATGATGGAAATGGGTTTTAAACCTAGGCAGTCTGACTTGAGCATCTGCGTGTCTTGGGGATGACTCGAGTGGGCTAACCGAGGTCTCATAGGCAGGCAGAGGCAGGGCCAGGACTTGAACCCAGGTCTTGGAATTCTGAAGCCTGGACTGTAACTCCTCTCTTGCTGCTCTCCATAAGAGGCACAGCCTTTTAACAACAGAGGGAGGCCCCTTCACCCTGTCCCTGTTCCAATGGTCCCATGACTCCTTCCCTGGTCCCAGAGGGGTCCTTGCCCTGAGGAACCTGGTCACAGATGCCTGTGTGAGTGGGCAGCAGAACCCCTGCCTGCTCCCCTGCCAGTCAGGGGCTGGGGGATCGCAGGGGTGGCCTGGGGCAGGCTGGGCAAATTTGGCCCCTCTGCCCCTTCCAGTTCCCATCTCCAGAATGGGATACCGTCACTCCAGAAGCTAAGGACTTGATCAATAAGATGCTGACCATCAACCCATCCAAGCGCATCACGGCCGCTGAGGCCCTCAAGCACCCCTGGATCTCGGTAAGCCTTCCTCAACCGAGCCCCTCCCCAGAGCCCTTCCAGACCTTGGAGCCCAGGCCCCAGCATGGGGCCGAAAGACCCTAGTCCACAGACTACCTCCCTGTAGTACCCAGGGAAATGGGAGTATTTGGAAATAGGACTATTCTAGGCTGCCACCTAGACTGCCTGGCTTCATTTATGTCTGGTATCAGGGCTACTAAAAGTCTCAAAATCCCATAGCCATGTTTATGGGATAGTCAAGAACAAAGAACTACTTCCCCCAAGGTGACAGCCTCACTTCTTTAGTATACCCCGCTGAGGGTCTCGTGGGTAGGCCTTCCCTCCAGCCTGCCTCCCGCTCACTGAACTCTCCCCATCCCCTCCAGCACCGGTCTACTGTGGCCTCCTGCATGCACAGACAGGAGACCGTGGACTGCCTGAAGAAGTTCAACGCCAGGAGAAAACTGAAGGTAACGCTTTGTCCCTCCGTGACCCCAGATGTGGGATAGCTAGCCGAGGATTCCACAGAAGCCAAGGAAGGGCCTTCTTTGCTCACTAGTGCATCCGTTCATTTCTTGGGCAAGCATTTCTTGAACATCTGTTGTGTGCAGGAAAGTCGGCTAGTCTTTGGGGACAGTAGTCAGGGTTCTTCAGAGAAACAGAACCAAGAAGATTAGATAGAGAAGATTGGATATAGATAAGAAGCCCTGGTGGCACAGTGGCTAAGCACTTGGTCCATTTTTCAGATTCCCCAGCTGTTCTGAGGAAGAAGAGACTTATCAGTCTGCTTCTGTAAAGATTAAAATCTAGAAAACCTTCTGGAGCAGTTCTCTCTATCCTGTCCTGTAGCGCCACTATGAGTCAGAGTTGACCTGACCACATACAATAAAAATCACAACATGTATGTGATCTCATTCATTGTCCTCTGATCTCTAACCGCTGGCCTGCTGCCCTCCAGAAGAGGGAGTTCACCTTTGCTCTGTCCATGGGGTTGGAACCGACTCACAGCTGACTCTCCAGTGTGTTTTCAGAGGTTGTAAATTGCACAAGAAGAGATAGCCTATCTTTCTCCCAGGGAGCTGCTGGTGGAGTCCACTCGCCAAAGAGACGCAGCCCTTGAGTTTGCAGTGCAACTCCCTACAGATTACACCACCAGAGAGAGCTCCCTCTGCAGACGAAAAGGGCTGACAAAGAAGTGCTACTTTCATAGGGTCACAGCCCAGAAAATCCTGAGGGGCAGATAGGCCCTGTAACACATGAGGTCACAAAGAACGAATCAGAACTGTCTTGACACAGCAAATAATTTTCTTTTACTAGAGATAGATATAATGTACCCACTGCCATCAACTTGAGATATATATAGAGATAGATATTTGTTGTTGTTGTTGTTAGGTGTCATAGAGTTGAGCACAACTCATAGTGACCCTATGAACAAAAGATCTGAACCTTATTCTGTCCTGCACCATCCTCACACTTCCTGACACACAACAGCCCATTGCAGCAGTCACTATGTTGATCCAGCAGGTTGAGGGTCTTCCTCTCTTTTGCCCACCCTCCACCCTTCCCAACATCATGTCCCTCTCCAAGGAATAGCGCATCCTAGTAACACGTTCAAAGTATGTGAGGCAAAGGCTCATCATTCTTGTCTCCAAAGAGCGCTCCAGCTGAACCCTCTCTAACACATATCTATTTGTTTTCTTGGCTGTCCACAGGCTGTTCAGTTCTTCTTCAACACCACAGCTCAAAGGCATCAATTCTTTTTCTGTCATCCTTATTCATTGGCCATGTCTTGGATGCATAAATAGTAATCAAAGACCATGGCCTGAATCAGATGCACCTTAGTCCTCAAACTGACATCATTGCTCCTCAATAATTTGGAAAGGTCCCCAATTACAGTTTTCCCCATTGCAGTGCATCCCCTTATTTCCTGACTGCTCGTATCAAGGGTATTGATTGTGGATCCAAGAAAGATGAAGCTGTTGACAGTTACAATCTCCTCTCCATCCATCATGATAGCCAATTCCAACTCATAGTGGCCCTTCACTGAGTTTCTGAGGCTGTGAATCTTGACTCTTTATGGGAGGAGACTGCTCATCTTTCTCTTGTGGAATAACTGGTAAATTCAAACTGCTGGCCTTTCAGTTATCCATCCTCATCCCATGGAACAGCTGATGGCCTCAAACCATGTGCCTTTGGGATTGCAGCATAGCTTCTTCTCACGAGGCACCAGAGCTCCCTTATGTTGGTATAGATATAGAGATAGAGATATATAATTAAGTGCCATCAAGTCAATTATGACTCATAGCAACACTATAAACAACAGATCTGAAACTATCTAGGCCATACATACACATATTGAAAGTGACAGATTTTTATTTTAAGGAATTGGCTTATGGGATTGTGAGGATTAGAAACTCTCAAATCTGTAGGGCAGAAGGTGGGCTTCAGCAGAATATCTATGTTATATCTGGAAGCAGAAACCTTTCCTTGAAGATTTCAGGCTTTGCTTTTAAGACCTTTAGCTGATTGGATCAGGTCTATCCATATTATCAACTGATTTAAGTGTTTAATACCATCATAGCAGCACGTGGATGCTTAATTAAACAACTAAACACCATAGCTTAGCCAAGGGCCCCCCTTGCCACTACAGGGAGTTTATGGTGAATTAGTTCCCAGAGCCACCCTGACCTCTGTTTAGTAAGAGGACAGAGGAGTGACCCAGAAACATGCAGGGCATGATGAGAGCTGTGATGGGATTGAGGAAGCACAAAGCAGGACCATGAGCAGATCTAAAAACCTTCCTAGTTGCTCTAGGAAACCTTCCTGGAGCAAGTGGCATGTAATCTGACACTCTGAAAGAAGACCAAGTATTATCAGACATAGGGTCGGAGTGGGGAAGAATGTCCCAAGTGAGGGGACATTCTGGAAGTGTGAGCATAATCCCTTGGGGAAATGGTGGATGGATCAGTTGTGACTGGATGGGAGACCATGGATTAGAGGTACAAGGTCCCGGTTTTGAAGTGTGGGGTGGGGTGATCGAGAGACTTGAACATTGGTTCAGATGGATCCTGAACTGTGTGTGTTGTCAGTCTTATAGTAGGTCCTGTCTAGCCCTTGTCAGGGAACCCATGAGCTGATAGGTGGAGAAACTAAGAACCAGTTGGGGCAGAGAAGCCATTGGGACATCAGAGGATGCTAAGGGCCAATCACTCAAAACCTCCTCACCACACGTTCCTGGGTCCGGACAAGGTCACTGGCCAGGAGGATAGGGGCTGGCTGATGTCAGGAGAACTGAGTCCTACCCAAACACAGTGGCAGTGGTCGTCATGGTGGAAATTTCCATGTTGCAATCAAGGATTCTTAAAATTGTAGACTGCCGGACTAAGCAGGTACCCAGATGCGGTCAGGCCTGACCACAGAACCACAGCCACAACGCCTGACTGACAGCAGAGGGATTCTACACACTCAGACCCTTTCAGATTCTAAGCCCAGGGGCCAGGACAAGACAAGGTGGGGCCGAAGTGAGGTGCTCAGTGTCCCACAGAGGGCAGGGAGGTGCAGGGCTGGCACACACAGGGTCATTGCTCTTGTCCAGGCTGGAGACGTTCATGGCCTTTCCGGCCCCTGTTGGCAAGTGTCCTTGGAGCCCATCCACCATCCTTGACTGGGCCAGCAGGACCTATTAATATCTTTTCCTAGGATCTGGGCCAAATAAGGCTTGCTAGCCCCTGACTTCCTCATAGGTGGGAGGTTCGAAGTCATAGCTGGGAGGGTTTAATGAGGAGTGGTCTCTGGGGTGTGTACAGGGGAAACAAATAGAGGGGTGGTACAGAAAGCTTTGTCTCTGAAGGCAGCACCTCGTTTTTCCTTCCCTAATGCCCTTTCTTTTTCTCTGTCTTTCCTCTGCCCCCTCACCCACTACCTCACACTCCCCACTCCCATCTTCTGCTTCTCTGTTGCAGGGAGCCATCCTCACCACCATGCTGGCCACCAGGAACTTTTCTGGTAGGTGGTGGAACCTCAGAGTTCCCAGAACCCCCTGCACTGATCTTCTGAGGACAGTACCCTATTGGATGTTTGGCTGGGACAGTAGGGGTTGTGAAGGATCCTGTGGCTAGGGACTCACTTTACCTGCCATGTATTTGTACCCAGAAGTGGGGAGAGGTCAAAGGTCTCCTCACTTGGCTGCACAGCTCAGTTTCCAAACTGGGCCAGTGGCAGGAGATTTCTTCAATGTCCAGGCCTGGCTTAGACTGAAGCTGGTCCAGGGGGTAACAGCATCTCCACCATTACTGGAACACAGTGTTAAGTACTCTGCATGCATTCCCTAGGTGGCTTTTATGACAAGGGGGTAAGAGTTAGAGAAAGGCAGAGCCCAGATTCCTCACAGGTTGACCAGCAAGTGCCCTTACACAGGCGGGGTCACCAAGGAGTCTAGAAGAGGAGCCTCCCAGGCCTTTGGCCAAAGCCAAGCTGGTTAAGTTGGGGAGTACCCAACTACCTGTGGCATGTGGCCCCAAAGACAGCAGGGGAAGGGATTAGTGTCAGAGCTTAGCAAGAAACTCCGCTTGGCAGAGCAGAGAGCTGCAGAGTGGCGGGGCCAAGCGCCTGCCAGAGGCTTCTCCCCAGAGTCCTGGGAGGGCTGACAGGGCGGCTGAGCCGATATAGCAAAGCTCACCCAAGGGGCCCTCCGGCTGGGGCCTGGCCAGTAGAGAAGGCAGCAAGGGGGGATGTGGCCAGCAGCACAGCCAAGGCTCAGCCCTGAGGAGGATACAGGCCTGGATTTGCTGAGAGAGTCCGCCTGTCAGTTACCCCGCCAGAAGGAGGGAAACCCAGACATGAGAAGGTACTGGAACTTAACCTTCTGCTTTCCCCACCACTCTGCACTGCCCTCCCACCCTCTCCCCAGACAAGGATCCTGCAGTTCCTTAAACTGAAAGATGAGCTGGGCAGTCAGAGTCTTTTTTTAACAACTGAAGCATCCCTAGAGAACTCCAGCCCAGAGCTCACAAGATGGTGGCCGGTGGTCAGCTCCAATCTTTAGATAGGAGTTTTCTAGATCTCTATGGGGCTAGTGAAGATTTAAGATTTTGGACGAATTGATCTCCTACTTTTAAAAATAAAAATCGAGACCAGATAAAACTCCTACTTTCTGGCTTCTCTTGAAAACCAGAGTTTCTGGCATCACTGGTCCTGTAATCTTGTAGGCAGCCTCGCTAGGCAGAGCGGGCACCTCCTGAAGGGGGCGCACTTCCGACCTCCACACCGACGGCTGCCCATCTCCTTGTCCCCGAGGTCACTCAGGCTGCCCGAGGGTTTTATGTGCCTCATAGATGTGAGAGGATTCTGAGAGAGCTGTGTTTCTTTAGAAAGAGAAGTTGTTAGGTGCCGTTGAGGACAACTCATAGTGACCCTATAATCAACATATTTGAGAAAATCAAATTCTTACCCTTGACTGGTTACCTTCTTTTATTTATATTAACTGTCTGACCTCTAGAAATATTTGGGATTCTATCCTAGTCCAGCCCCCTTCCTGACCTTTCAAATTTCCCATTTTACAGATGAAGAAACTGAGTCTCAAAGAAAGGTATAATTTATTTATTGGCAAAGCCAGGACCTGAATTGGCCTTTTCCCTCCAGCCTTTGCTTTAGCTAAGGTCCCCAAATGAGGGTAGGGTCCTGGGAGCCTCTCTGGTCTGTCTCCAAGGAAGGTCCTAGGCGCTGAGTGAGATGCAGCCTCAAAATACAGGACAAGCTCTGCTCACTACCTCAGACAGAACCTGCTCCCTCTCTGGACCTCAATTTCCTTGTCTGAAAAATGGATTGCTGGGCCTTGCTCACCCTAATGACACTCTAAGGAGACTTGTGCAGGTGAAAGGTATCTGCTGTGGCGTGTGGGAGGGACCACGGTGAGGTCTGCTCACCTCTGTGCTTTCATTCTGTGGTGCCTGCGGGTGGGGGTGAGGGGTGGTGCAGGAGGTGGGAAGGCTAGTCTGGAAAAATTAAGAGCCCCCGGCTTCACTGGAACACTCAGAAATGGGTGCTTTCACAGACAGGACGGAGATACCCAGTGCAGGCAAAAGAGTTAGAAATGGGGTCTGCAGGCTGAGGGGAGCTTAAAGAAAGGAGAGAGAAAGCTTTAAGAATGGGAAGCACCAGAAGGAGGATTCCACACCTCCACCCTCACTCTTGCTTGGTAAGAGGTTAAACAGGATTGGAATCTGGAAAGGGTCATAGGTGAAATATGAAGGGTAATTGCCAAGACACTGGGATGAACCCAGTTCATCCCCTTAGGCCGTCAAAGGGGCGGGGAGGGTGGGGCAGACAGGGGTGGTTGTACCTTTATAATGGCTGCTGTTTACTGAGCATCTACGGTGTAGGGGTCAGGTGCTGACCTAAGCATTTTATATATACCCTGCCTCGTTTAACTTAAGGCATCTGCTCAAGAGCTAAACTAGCTGGATGCCAGGCTGGGCATCCAGGTTGTTTCCTGGCTGGTAGCCTCTCTGAGGGCTCTGGCCAGGAGACGAGGAGGGAGGGAAAGGGAAATGACAGAAGTTGAGGCCTCCCTCCTTCTTTGGCTACCAGGAAGACAGCCAGGCCCAGTGCGGGCCTCCGGAGTCTGAGTCCACTGCCCAGGAGAAAGCCTGGGGATGGGTGCTCTGGCAGGGTGGGCCTCAGAGGGGGGCATCTGCTTCTTGTCACCAGCAAAACGCAGCCTGCAGCTGTCCAGAGTGAGTAGGCTGGGCCGACACATGACCTCCACAGAAGCATGGGGCTAAAATTAGAGAAGGCTGGGGTGGGAGGAGTGTCCAGCCCCGGGCAAGACAGCTGGGCCTCCGGTTGGCCACCACCGGCACGGGTGGTGACCGGGATCCAGAGGGAATTCCCAGGACGTGCTGGACGCCTCTCTCTCCACCCATGGGGCCAGAGGGTCACACTCTCGGTCCCTGAGAACTGGGGTGCCCAGGCCCACCCTGAGGCCATTGGTTGCCCGGGACTGCTGAGGAGGATAGAGGAGAAGGAAGAGAAAGAGGAAGTCTCCCCCAGGATTTCTGACCTGGCTGTGTCCCCACACTGCCTGCCCGTGGATGCTGCTCTTCCTCACCCTGTGGGCCCTGGTGCCCTGCCTGGTGTTGTTAACGCTCTACTTTCTCTCCTCCACAGGAGGGAAGAGCGGTGGAAACAAGAAGAACGATGGTGTGAAGGTAAGGTCCCTGGGTGCCTGCAGGGCCTGCCTCCCGCAGCTCGGCCACCAGGGACCGGCCCTCAGGGCTGGGGCACAACCAGGCCCTGTGGACGGCATTCTGGGCAGACATGTCACACCTGTGGCCACGCCGTCACCAGACCCAGAGACCTGGGTTTCCAGTGCCTGTCCTGTTAAGAGTGCTGGGGCAGGTGGGGAAGGGGGCTGCAGGAGGGTGCAAGGGGCAGGTGACCTGGGTTAGGGAGGGTGCAAGGCAAGGGACAGGACTGCAGGTCCTTCAGAGACGGAGGCCTGGTTAGCAAGAAGGTGTGAGTGGAGACCTCTGAGTGTGGGCGGCTGGAATGGGCCCTGACCCACTGCACACCCTAGCTCAGCTCACAAAGCCTGTGGAAGACAGACAGCTCTTCCTCTCAGCTGTGAGACCAATAGGTGCCCCCACCTCAAAGGCCTGCTGGTTCAGTGCCAAGTACAAGTATCCCCTTCTCCTCTCAACTGCCTCCCCTCTGCCCACCAAGCCCCAGGGGCTGGAGAAGACCCAGGCCTGCCCTCCACCCCATCCCAGATGCCCGAGCTACTTACCCCACCCCTGCCGAGCCCTCCTTCCCACCTTGTCTCTTTTCTCCCTCTGCTCTCGGGGCCTGGCCCCTGCTCTCTGCAGCCCCCCACTCTCCCCTGCCACTGGATCACCTTGTGGGTTCTCCTCTCTTGAGACCTGCCCTTTTCTGTGCTCAGAACCCTGCTGGCCAGGGTCCTCGGGATGGGCTGTGCCCGGGACTCTACAGGGTATGGGGTGTTCTCCTAAACAGCACCCAGGTGTGCTGGTGGCTTCATTCATGGTGGCATTTGTGGTCTCCGGCTTTGCTCAGTTGGGGAGTAAGTGGGAATGGTCCGAGCTGGACATCAGAGAGCAGGGTAGAGGCTGCCCCTCTGCTTTGAGCCCTCTCTGGGTTGGCATACGTGTAGGATTTGGGGATTTAAAGTCATAACTTTGGTTTTTAAAGCAGATAAACAAAAAAGAGCAACAAATGCCCTATCTAACTGTACTCCCTTCTCATCTTGGGTGTTTGAAGGATACATGCTTACTTGGTTATTAACCTAACTCAGTGGTATTCAATGTAAAGGGGAAACCAAAGGTCCTGGAGAGATGCCTCCTTTAACATATAGGGTGGATGGGATGAAATAGAGGGAGAGTGATCAGATAAGGCTCTGGGCTTCACGTGACTACCTCAGTCAGAACAAACTCAATTCATTGCCATCAAGCTAAATGCAACCCGTAGGCTAACCCTCCATTGGGTTACCAAGGCTGTAAATCACATATAAATGACCCATCTTTCTCTCATATAGCCTTTAGTAGATTTGAACCAAGAGAGAGGAATGGCCTTGGATTAAGAGCACAACTCCCTACAAACTGGGCTGCTAGTTCTGTGTAACACCCATGAAGGTAGTTAAGAGGACCCAGGTGTTTGACAGTAGAGACTTTGGGTGTTTATGGAAATCTCCTGAGCCTGCCTTCTCATGCACTGAGGTTAAAAGGGGTTCCCAGCTCGCAGGGATATTTGGGAGAATGAATGAAGACACTGTCTATGTTATTGGGGACTTCACAGAGTGCTGGCATGTGATACTTCAGCAGTATCATCAAATGTCAGTCTGTGTTACTGCGCCTTATCTGTTTCATGTATTGGACATGAAATGGTGATATTTCTCTTGAAAACAAAATTTTCTCAAGAAAATGCTTGGAAAGCCAACCCAGTTTCTAATGTTCCTGTGCATTTGTCCCAAGTCTTGGAATGGAACCCAACACTGAGCCTGGCTTACTGGTTGTCTTGGATTGCCAGTGGATCACCTTGCTTGCACTCCCAGGTTGGAGGGGTCACAGGGTGCTGCATAGCAGTCTGTGCAATGTGGGGGCTCTGGCTTTTGAGTGATTGGGGCTCTCTAGCTTTTGGTATGTAAATGCTAAACTGAGTTGGGGGGACTGGTCCTTCAAGGGAGAACCATCTCCCTGACCCCAGTTTGGAGGTGTTGGGACAGATACCATGGACACTGAGGGGCTATTGTCCAGGTTAGTAGAAGAGAAAGGGACAGAGGAAAAGGCTGTCCTGGTCTGCTGGTTCTTGAATGAAAGACCTGGAAAAGGCTGGAGAGCCACAGGGGTGGTGGTGAATCTGTAGTCTGGATTCTCAGGGCGGTCAGGTTGAGACGTGTCTGAGGGAAGAGGTCTCGTGGCATGATAGGGCTGTGCTGGCCTGCAGGTTCTCAGATGGGCCAACAGCAGAGTGCCATGGCTTCATGTAGCCAGGCCAACCAGAGGACTTCTCAAGAGTACCCTGGAATGTGGTGAAGAAAGGCTATACCAGGCCTGATCATCTCTTTGGCTCAGACGGCTTCCCTTTCTTTCATGGATGAGGAAAATCTTTCAGCTGGAAAACAGAGGCCTTGCCAAGAATTCAGGAAGTCCAGCCGGCAAGGTGTTGCTCACAAAGGAGTGTGCTTAACAGCTGGGTTTGGGTTCCAGTCTGTGTGCATTACCAGTGGGCCTGAGTCTCACACCAGGAAGAAAAGCTGCAGGTCTGAGTGGACCCCAGTGCTGCCTCCTTCAGAGCCGTGGGATCAGTCCCATCACTTGAAGGGAAAGAATGGAAATCACTGTGGAACCTGGTGGCGCCTTGGCATATACTTATTTAACTGACAATAATTCAGCCAAAGTGTTGAAAAATACCTGTTCTGTAACTTGGTCCAGCAAGTTCATCTGAGGCTTTGCTGAAGCAAGTTTCAACGCTGGAGGGAATCTGGCCCAGTTGGAACTATAAGAGCTGTAACAGAAAACTGTCCTTTATGGACGCTTAAGAGTTTTTCATGGCTAATTTTGGCCTTACTCTGTTTCTCCCATCCTTGCTAACTTTAGAACCATCCTTTCATGTGGTTCTGAGGGACGTGACTCTACTTTCTGTGAAAGCTCCTTGTGAACTAAACTCCAAAGCAGTCAGTATGAGATGCTCAGCACCCTCATAATTTGTGATTCAGGGAAATTGAGCCTTCCTATCACCAAGAAGCAATGCTCCCCCACCAACCGCCCCTAAAAAAAACTCAAAAAAACCCAGCCCAAACTCATTGCAGAAGAGTCATCTCAGATCCTGAGGCCCCTGCTTTTATGAGGAGGGCACAATTCCTCCCACGTCCCACCACTCACTGCCCCTGTTGGTGTCCCATCCGTGCCGTCGTGACCCCTCCCCCATGTCCCATCCTGTTACTGTGCGTCCGAATCTGATGCAGTCTCTTCTCTGTGTTCCCTCTTCGTGTCCGCCTGGAACCTCCTGGCCCCTGCGCGGCTCCTCAGGTTTCTGCTGACAGCTGAGCTGTGTGGGCCTGTCCCCTTCCCCACACATACTGTGCCTGGCCAGGCTCCAGCCGGGGAATGAGGCTGACACAGGAGAGGAGAGAAAAGAGGCGAGCAGAGCAGAAGAGAGGGGAGGAGAGGAGAAGAGAGGACAGGAGGTGTTGACTGCAAACTGCTAACTGCACAAGTCACACTGTCTGGCTCAGCAGGAGAAGGTGGCGGGCTGGGAGCAATTACACATGAGATGCCCACTGGGCCACCCTGGCCCTATCTGTGGAGGACCTGAATGGGGAGCCAGAGGATCACACACACCTGGATCTTAGAGCAGAAAGCCCAGACTTAGACCTGAGCTCCCTCGAGGAGTATTCATTGCATCCTTCCTGGCAAAGGCCCACCCAGGGTGGACATCTCAAGTCCCTCCTCTGCCTCCCGCACTGTACAGTGGGAGTGAGGCCTCCTGGCTTCTCAGATGTCAGCATCCAGGATATGATGGGCCTTTTTTGGAGAGAGACCAGCATGTAGGGGCCAGAGACTGGACAGAGGAGAGTCCTATATGCAGTGGCTTAATGAAAGACCTTGGGCAGGCCGCTTCCTCTCTCTGGGACTCAGTTTCTCTTCTGCGTAGTGAAAGAGTCAGTCTTGATTTAGAATTTCCTATGAGCGGGAATCTGTAAGAGTCCTGGCTCAGAGGGCTAAGAGAAGGAACCAGATTAGCTACAGTTATCCTCTTTTTTTCTCTCCCCTCCTATGGTTCAATAGCCTGTACAGGGAGAGCTACAAATGCCCCAAAGCTAGAGTAGACCAAATGGCAGGGCCAGATACCCCAGTTCTTGGCTCTGCTTCATTCAAATGCTTTTTCTCTGTCAGCATGAAGGAGCTTAGCAGGCCAGCCACTGGGAAGTTGTGGAGACAAGCAGGATTTCAAAGGGAACTTAGAAGGTTGGCCCTTCTTTAGAATCACATGGGGATACTGATCAAAATGCAGATTCCCCAGTGTCACCCTAGACCTAGTAGTCAGTTTCTTGGTGGGCCTCTGACCCTGTACATTTTTGGACAGGTTTCTGAAGTGATACTGACACTCAACCAGGAGAAAGTTACATCAGTAGAGGGGTTGGGACAGACTAGGAGGCGTGATTGGGCCTCATCTGATCTGAGAGCCCTTTTGTCCTCCAAGAGCAGTGGATTCTGGGGGCCTCAGGCACCTGATGTCCGAGACTTGGGATTCACTCCCTCCAGATGAGCTTGGCATAGTAGACAGCTGTGGTCCAGGGAAGACTTGGTCTGGACTGTGATGAAGAAATTGGTGAGAGCCAGACAGATAGATGTTGGAGAGGCCCTAGCACTTCAGGATGAGAGAGGGCTGGCTGTCAGGTCAGTTGTGGCCAGTAGCCCTGACTCCATGCTCTGATGCCAAGCCAGCAAAGTCCACAGAGGATGAACCTGAGACCCATCCTCCTTCCAAACCTTCTGTCGTTCCGCTGCTCCCTGCTGTTTTCATGCTGTGTCTCTTCCTGTCCCATCTCTTCTCCTTGTTTTTCCAGAAAAGAAAGTCCAGTTCCAGCGTTCAGTTAATGGTGAGTGTCTGCCGTCTCCCAGACGCCGGTAAATGCTGGGCCTCGAACCCTCGCTCCTGCCTCGCTCCTGCAGGCTGCGCTGGGGACCCGGGCGGGGAGAGGGTGCTCAGGGAGAGCTTGGTACGTGTGCGTTGTGTGACAACATGTTGTGTGTGTGTGTGTATGTTGTTTGCGTGTTTCTGTTAACACCTCCAACTTCATGGCCCAGACCTGCAGCCTGACAGTAGAACTGAGAGCTCTCTCTGGTACGAAGGTGGATTTGAACCCAATCCCACGGCCAGCCCTTGGCTTCTCGCTTCACCCTGCCCCTCTGCTCTAGAACTCACGTCAGGGCTTGGTTTCTGCCAGTTGTGGCGAGGGTGGGGTTTGTTTGGGCTCAGTGGCAGGGGCCATGGAGGCCCTGCTAACGCTTCAACAAAGCTGCCTAGGGTCTGCTGGGGGCAAAGGAGCCACCAGCCCCTGGTCTGTCTCCGGGTTCCAGTGGTGGCATGGTGGCCTACGTCCCCCTTCTTCTGATTCCATTGCCGTTTTACTCTGCTGTGTGGTTTTTCTCCCCTCTGAAAAGCCCACCCCTTCTCACACGGGTCCTCGCTCTCTTTCTCTTCTCTCCTGCCAGTGTGTGCATCCCTTTCCCACAGTGTCTCTCTGCACCTCTGCATCCCCCCTCCTTTGCTCCCTCAAGCAGACAGGGCTCGGATACTCCAGCCAGCCCTTCCAGAAAGGCCAGGGTTCTCCTCATATCCATCCCTCCATCCCCACCCTCACCGCCAGCCACCTGCTTAGCTGGGCCCCCCCTCCTCAGGCTTGAAAGGCTGGCAGGGTTTTCAGCACAGCATCCGGATGGCAGAGCTCAGGAGACTCAAGGGGATCAGGCCGCATCTCCACAGCAAGACCGGCTGTGCCTTGTCCTGTCTCCCCGGTGGGCCTCACCATTTCCTGTGTTCTCTCTGGCAGGAATCATCTGAGAGTACCAACACCACCATTGAAGATGAAGACACCAAAGGTAAGAAGAGGCCTTGGCTTCTGAGTCTGGGTCCCAGAGCTTTCTGGGGGCGACACAGCCAACACTTTGACTAACAGCTTCTGACTGGCCCCAATGCCTGTCCGCTCTCCTGCTCTCTACACAGGCCCAGTGGTTTCCCTACAGATGGGGGTGCATGGCAGGCCCAGCTTCCCCACGTGGGGACTTGGACCACTAGTGGTATTTTAGAGCTTCTATCTTTATTTTGGTTCTCGGTGGGGTGGGGGGGGAGGATGTATGGTGGTAGTATAAAACTTCCTTCTAAAAGTGTATTTAAACTTGTAAAGCAAATTAGCTGAACACATTCACAGGCACACGTACATATACCCCAGTGATAATAGAGAACGCAATGGCAAAATTCCAATAGTTCAATTGATATTCTAAAACAAAATGTGTATGAGTGGCTGAAGGAAGACAAGTTTGATTTGTAAACTTCCACTCAAATAAAAAGAAATCAATAAATTGGGGTGGGGGAATTCTCCGATGGGCAAGGGAGTAAACACTCAGATAAGTGAGTAGATAGTAAGAGAGTAGAGAATAGCATCACAGCAGTAGTCGTGGCTGCCGTCCACGTGTGGACCATGGGCTTGGGACTGGAGACTGTTCCAAGTACGCTGGATTCTCTCTATCTTCCCCACACCCTGATGAGGTAGGGACAATTCCTCAGTGCACTCTATAGCCCCAGACACGGGGAGTGGAGGCAGGAGTAAATTCATCCAAAGCTCAGGAGGAGGGCCGGCACAGGACCTGACCCGAGCATTCAGGCTCTGGAGCGGGCTCACATGCCAGTTCTGCATGTGGGTCAGCCTGACATCTTTGCCTATTCCCAGCTGGAGGCGGTGGTCACCGCAGCCTGACACTGAGCAAATCTTGCTTCCCTGATAGCACCAGGGATAAAAGTACATGATCTTATTGAGACTGGGTGGATTCCTGAATATAATACCTGGAAATAATCTTTAAACTTTGAATAGAAACTATGCCATTATGTTATCCTTAAACTAAGCAGCTGTTTAGCCCAATTAATAATTAATGAATGTTTGTCTTCGGTATAGCACTTGGATTCCAACCCCGTAGGTCTGAACTGGAGCTATGGCATTTCGAGGATGCTCTCCTATTTTGGCCTATATGGCTCTCTGCCTCACTGGGAAGAGTTGGGTGCTGGGACCCTGGAGACACCTGGCATGGCCTCAGGATCCTACTCTCTGAGCAAAGAGGGCCTGTGGAAGTGCTCCAGCTTCACGTCTCCCCAGTGAAGTCCATTTTCTGGATGACCTAGACAAGTCACTTAACCTCACTGAGCCTCTATGTCCTTAACAGTAAATGAATATTGTTAGATAAACAGTGATAAGAAAGTACCAACCTCAGAATCTTTATGAAGAGGAAACGGGAGGACGTATACAAAGAGCTGACACAGTGTTTGGCGCACTGTTGTCGCCTGGTGTCATTGAGACAGTTCTAACTCACAGTGACTCCAAGTACAACACAAGCAAAGACTGCCCAGTCCTGTGCCGTCCTCACAGTCGTCCCTCCCTGCAAGCCCACTGTCACAGTCACTGTTTAGGCTCTGGCTCTCCTTCACAGGCCCTCGGCATTTCCAAGCATCGTGTCCCTTTCCACGATCTGGCCACCCCTGAGAGATGTCCAAAGTGTGTGAGACAAACTCCCACCCTGCTGCTGATAATTAAAACGCCGATGGCATAGTGTCCAGCATTATAGCAACACCTGACGCACAACCGTATGACAGACTGACTGATGCATGGTAGAGTTGGCATGTAGTAATTGCTTAATAAATCTTCACTTCTATTTTTTTTTCTTAAACTGGAGTTTGTTGCTGGTTAACAAGAGGCCACATGTCATCTTCTTTGAGCATCAGTTTTACTCAATAATTATTTTAAGACAAATATTTACATATCAAACAGACAGAGAAATGTTACGGAAGAGAAAGCAAAATTTGCATGTGTTGTTAATGCAAAATATGTGATGTCAAAGATATTTTCCACTTGGGGTAATGGGTTTTGGCTGTATCTGTGAGGCCTCGGCATTTGTAATCATTATTCTCTACTTCAGGGGAATCTGGATGGAAAAACTTGGAAACTATTGCATTTTTGTTCCCCTGTGCTCCCTTTAAGGAGCCCTGGTGGTATTGTGTGTGATGTTGAGTTTCTAACTGGAAAAAAACTGACGGTTTAAATCTATCAGTCACTCTATGAAAGATGGGCTCTTTCCATAAAGAGTTACAGCCTGGCATCTCAATGCCTTGAGTTGGAATGAACTCAACAGGACTGGTTCTGGTTTGGGTTTTAAGTCTGCCCTTTTGGTGAATCATTTAAGTGCTCAGCTGCTTACTGAAAGGTTAGTGGTTCAAACCCACCCAGCAGCTCTGTGAGAGTAAGACCTGGTGCTCTGTTTTCACAAGAATGACAGAGTAGAACACCTTATTGGGGCAGTCCTACTCAGTCATACGGCATCACTACAAGTTGGAATGGACTTGACATCACACAATAACAACGTGCCCTGTATAGAGAGAAACCCAAGGCCCAGACAGGAGAAGGGCTGGAGGCCTGTCCCTTGCCTCAGTTACCCCCCCCCCCCAGTTAAACACTCCAGGAAGGAGCCCTGGTGGTGCAAAGAGTTAAATGTCCAACTGTTAACTGAGAAGTTGGTAGTTTAAACTCACCCAGAAAACCACTAAGAGAAGACCTAGAGATACACTCCTGTAAGGATCACTGCCTAGAAAACCCTCCTTTGTCCCACAGGGTCCCTATGAGTCTAAATGGTCTAGATGTCTGCTGACAACAGAAAGCCCCAGAGCGCAGGCCCAGTGCAGCTTCCTCAGTCAGCAGCTCCTCCCTGGGCACAGCGGGAGAGAGCTCTGTGCACCTCCTCAGAGTCTCCAGGCCTCAGAGAAAGTTTCCAGGGAACCATTTTCTGGTGTTAATTTGTTAAGTCTTCATACTAAGTGAGACTAGCAGCTGGTGGGATGGACTCTGACCTAACATTAAAGTTAATTAGAAATGTCATCCTCCAGGGAACATTTTCCCCCGAGCAGAGAAGAGGACATTAATATTTCAGAGTGCCTCAGGCTTAATGCACAGGCCTCTCCCCCTCTGAGCTGCCCAGGGCTCTGCCAGGCTTCCTCCCTATTCTCTACCCCCTTCTGATCTGCACCATGAAAAATTCATTTTCTCTCTAGCCCAAAGAAGCACCTCAGATTCTGGGCAGAGACATTCTGGGAAATGTCAGCCAAGGATTCCAATCCTACCTCAGTCTGGGCATGCTGTGTGACTTTGAGAGAGTGCCTTAACGTCTCTGGGACCTCAGCTTTGCCATCTGCAGAGAACACTCTTGGGTCATCTGGAGAACACCTGGCAGATGAGAAATGCCATGAGTTGCTACCAAACAGCCCTGGGGTTCAGATCAGAGCAGCTTCCTCCAGATCTGAGGACCATTCAGCCTCCAGATTTCTGCCTAAGTATCTAGGAAGAGCTTGTGAGATTCCTGCCCACCAAGTTTTGAATTCTTGAATGGTTAGAGGCACAGCCTATGGAATTGAAATCCATAATCTAAGAATGTGCTTAGAAGATTATATTTATAGAACTCAGAATGTTTACTTGAACATGTTGTGTTGTTGTTATGTGCCATTGAGTTGCCTACAACTCAGTACAGCAGCTCTGAAGCCTGCCCTGTCCTAAGCCAGTCTCACTGATTCCGACACACCTACTCCCATTACCCCAGTTACTGTATCAATCCACCTATTCATCTCATCCGGGGTCTTCCTCTCCTGCACTGTCCCTTCACTCTTCCCAGAATGATGTTCTTCTCCAAGGATCAGTCCCTCCTGGCCGCATGCCCAAAGTATGTGAGACAGAGTTTCAACATCCTAGCCTCAAAGGAGAAACTTTGTTTTCTTGGAAGCCATGGTATGTTCAAGACTCTTCTCCAGCACCACAATTCAAAGGGACCTAATAGGAAATTATTCTTCAGGATAATGAATTATTTTACTGTCTTGGGCTGCATTAATAAAAGTATGTTGTTGTTGTGGGCCATCAGGTCAGATCCAACTCATAGCTGAACCTCCAGTGGGTTTGCAGAGGCAGTAAATCACACGAGAGGAGACTTCTATCCTCTCCCGTGGAACAGGTGGTAGATTTGAACCATGTGCCTTTGGGATTGCAGTGCTGCATCTTACCAATGAAAGTACAGAGTCCAGAATTGAGGAGGGGATAGAAAGTACCACTGCAGACTTGATGTGCTTTAATATCCAGGTCAATGTAGAGGTGGTCTGCTCATGTCTAGAAAGGCAACCAGTCAGCTCAAGGACCCCTGAATCAGGTCATTGAATCAAGGCCTGGAGAGTTCTATCCTAGAGGATGAATAGACTGGTTTGAGGTGGGCATAGATGGAGGAGCAGGCTGTCCCCTCCTGACCCCAGAAAACAAAATGAGAACCAGAACTATGACTGGGTGCTTTCACAGGGACAGATTTCAACTTGAAGGAAGATGGTCCAGATATTAAGAGCTAGCCAATAGTCTGAGGGTGATGGTGGTTTAGTGGGCTTAGTGGGGGAACGCTCACCTTCCATGTGGGGGCCCTGGATTCCATTCCCTGCCAAAGCACCTCCTGTTCAGCTACCACCAATCTGTTGGTGGAAACGTTCATGTGGCCCAGATGATGAAAAAATTCATTGAAATGAAGATGGACTAGGAAGAAAGATCTGGTGATTGACCTCTGGAAGTAAAAGCCCAAAGTTTACATCAGCCCTAGGGGAGCCAGTGCTGAGGCTGGTGCAGGCCGGCCGGCAGTGTTTTGTTCTGTGGGGTATGAGGTCTCTGTGCGTCAGGGGCAACTCAACAGTACAGTGAACTTCCTGACAGGCCGTGAGCCCCAAGTTTCAGCCATCACTGATTTCACCACGTATCTTAGTGTAGGCACCCTAGAGGGGCAAATGCAGTGAGATGTATGTCTAAATAGAGAGATTTCTTTGAGGGAAAGGGTTCATGCAATTGTTGGGGCTGCAGTGTCCCAAATCCAGTGGTCAGGTGGCAGGCTGGAAGCCTCTGCTGGTTCATAAGGATTTCCAAATAATAATATTAACTCTCATTTATAAGGGATGCCAGACATGGTTGTAATTGCCTTACGTAATGCATAATTCTTTACATACTTGTGTTGATATAAAGGGCTTGCAGCAGTATGCCCTTTGACGAGGGTCGTGTATGTGTTTGCTATTTCTACTGGTCTATCCTAAATGCAATTCTCAGAAGAACCCTGGATTGGTAAGTATTTTAAATATCGCCATTATACATAAGGAGAAACTGAGGCACAGAGAAGGACCTTGGCCAAGGTCACACAAACCCATGGAGGCTGGCTCCACTGTCCCTTGACTTCTCTGTTAGACTTCATTAAACACAGGCTCATGATGTGTCAAGCTGGAGAGGTTCTTAAGGTGCCTGGAGAGAAGGCATGTAAGGCAGTTCAGGCCTCTCCCCGCTGAGTCCATGCAGGAGCAGGAGCTGGAACGAGGTCGTCCTGCAGGATGGCCTTGAACTAACTGGCATGGGTTCCTTCCCATCCTCTGTCTCCTGTGAAGGAAGCTAAGTTGGGCAAGGAGCCAGGTTCTCTGTAAAGACTAGGGAAAGAGATGACCCGGTGACATCTACAATTCCTGGGAACAGGGCAAAGACAGCACACACTGGTGGCTCAGAGCCTTCCCTCCACTGTTAATCCACTTAGCACACACATCGGGTCCTACCTCTACCCTAGCCCCATGCGAGAACCTGAGGAAAGATGGGCAACCCCTCCCTGTGACCCTGTGTAGCTCATGTCTAAAGATGGCCTCGTCCTCAGCTTAGCTGGTTCTGATCAAGATCACAAGGGAAAACCAGTTACTGTTGACTTAACTCTGAATCATGACAGCCCCTGTGTGCGTCAGAGGAGAGCTGTGCCCCAAACGATTTTCCAGAAGTGATTCTTCTCCAGTGCCTTCGGGTGAACTTGACCTTCAGCCAATCGGTTAGGAGCTGTGAGAATTCACTTTTTGCAACCGCAGGGACTCCTGTTACTCACTGAGGAGCCACTGAAGATGATCATGTTGCTCCGTGTGCTGAGAACCCACCACATGCCAATGGCTGTGTGGACACAAGGGTTCCCACCCTGAGAGATGTGTGGTGCGGTGTGGAGAAGAGGGTGGGGGGTTTGGGAGCTTCCAGTGGTGCTTGAGCTCCATCTCCTGAAGTCAGTAATCTACCTCTCCTACCTTCTATTTGCTCTTCTGTGATGTAGGAGTGATAACCCCAGTGTGAGGCTTCCAGCTTTTGTAGATTGCACACACAGCACTGTGCCAGGCACAATTGTCCATTCATTGAGTGATGAAGGCCTCTGCAGGCCAAGTCTGTTCTAACCTCCAGGGATACAATGGCACAGTGGCAGCTGTGGAAAGCCTTAATGGAGCAGGTATTGTAGTTGAAGAATGAGATACGCATGTGGGTCCAAACGGAAGTGTAGAGTGGATGATACAACAGGAAGCATGTGTGGGTACCAGGATCCTGTGGGAAAGGCCCTGGGCCTGAGGGTACTTTCTGTGCCTGATGCATTCTATCCCCTTGGCCAAGATGCATCTCTCTCTGGGCCTCAGTTTCCCATTAGTTTGACAGGGGCTACAGTTCCTGATATTCAAGAGCACTTTTGGGACTTCCAGGCCTCAAGTGCACCTCCTGGTGTGGAGGGAGTAGCTGTGGGCAGATGGTGAGGGAAGGGGCAGGTATAGCTCTACACTAGCCTCATGCTCCCTCCCAGACTGAAAAAAAAATAGAGGCCTGTGTGACCCTTATTCTCTGAGCAACACTATTTACTGGTCCTGAGATTGCTCCAGGAGGCTGCAGGGGCTTGAAGCTAGACCTACATCTATGAAGGGCGTTAGATATGTCCAAGGGAAACTGGATAAGCCTTCTGCTGGGTTCTGCTGGGAGCCAGAGCACTGGACTTCAAAAACCTTCATCATTGAGGCTCAAGGCCGACCCACCTTCCAGGGTATTTGCAAAGGACAGATGAGGCAAGCTGTGTGGGAGGAGGGCCAGGCAATTCCAGAACTAATGATGCTTCCTACTGTGTGCCAAGCTTAGGGCTAAAGGCTCACATTTGTCATCTTGTCCCACCTTCAGAACAGGATACTGTCACCTTCTCTCTGACAGGAACCTTCACTTCGTGGTCTAAGATTGCTCAGTTTTAAAGGCTGGAATTTAGACGGAGATCTCTCTGGAACTTAAGCCTGAGTTCTTTTTACTACATGTTTCATACTGAACACAATTGTGGAGGGTCCCCATTTCATAGATGGAAAAACTGGGGCTCGAGATGTCACCATCTAGTCAGAAGGCACAAACCTAGGTCCTCTGGTTATCTGGCCCAGGCTGGGAAAGATCAATTACTTGTGATGTTTCCGTGGCCGAGAGACAGGTCACAGCACCTTAGATTCAGTATGTCTAGAAAATTTTACAACTCAATGCCTGATTCCTAAAGGCATCCAAGTGGAACCCAGACTCACCTGATCTCAAGGGTGAGCAGGTCCTAAGATCTTCCTTAGTGGTCCCGGGGCCACAGGGAGATACTAGTTCATCGCTGCCAGTGACAAATGTCACTGTTGTTTGGATTCAGGTCAAAAAGCAAGGTATCAGGAGCATTTATTTTTGGAGGGAAGACTTCAGTTCAGATCAAGCCTAAAGTCAGAATGTCCACAATTTATGCTTGTGGTATAAGAGGGCTGCCAACAGAGACACTTGATTTTCTAATTAAGGGAAATTTATATTTTCCTTCACCATCTCTCTGGGCCTGTTTCTCCTTCTGTGAAACGGGAATGATATCTATGTCCCAAGGACGATTCAAGGATAAATGACATAATTATTTGAGGACCTTCAAGCCCAGCCCAGTGTGTGGCACTTGATAAGAACTTGGGAAACAGTAGTTGGGCTTTTGTGAGCATCACTATTATTATTGCTATTTCTGTGTCCCCTCCTGCCTTTCAGTGCGGAAACAGGAAATTATAAAAGTGACAGAGCAGCTGATTGAAGCCATAAGCAATGGAGATTTTGAGTCCTACACGTGAGTCGGCCAGGCTCATTCTGCATGTCCTTCCGCTTGGATCTTGGATCAGATGGTGCTGATGGTTAACTTTTGGGGTCCTCGTCCCAAACTTCCACACACTCACCTTGCATGTGCAGTGTGGATCAGACTGAAGTCATGTTTCTGTTTTGCATATGGAATTTCTGCTTTTCTTTTTTTTAAGAATATTTTTTTGCACACAGCACTTTTCCGTTGCCTTTCTCCTCATCCCATATCTTGTTGCTGGGTTACCAACAAAATACCTTTTGCTTTCCCAGAGAAAGTAGGGGTGCCTCCATGACAGTGGGGGGCTCCCCAAGTAAGAGGGGAGGAAGGGACACACCCTCCTCTGTCCCACTGCATGGACCTGGGTCCTCTCCCTGGACTTTCTCAGACCTCCGGCCTGTGAGGGGCAGGCTTTCTGGAAGTGAGTAAAAATCCATAGGGTGTGTAATGTAGTGAGCCGAGGTGAACAAATTACCTCAAAACTGAAATTTAAACACTCTGGGAAATAAAGTGGAATGCACAAAAATTACAGATTAAAACAAGTGTGGGGTACATAAACACACCAGGGCCAGCCTGTGGAGGGGAGGCTGTGTGCTGGAGCGCCCCCCGGTGGCCAACTCTGATGGTCACCAACGCCCTTGCAGCTGTGGCTGGGAAGCTGATCCCATAGAGGGTTCATCAGAGTGAGTGTTCTGAGGCTCTGACTCCAGTACTGAAAAGGTCCAGGCCTGGAGACAAACACCTGGGTCCTATAGTTGTCTATTCGGTTCAAGTGAGATGGGAATAACCTGGCTAGAATTTTCTCCTTGATCAATCCATCAAAGTTTCCACTGTGCTCAGGAGCTGGAGTTTACCCTCTGAAAGCTTGGAGGCCAGGTCCATTTTAATTGTGAGGAGGAGGGTTTGTAGCAGCTAGTGGCATCAAGCTTGGCGGAAATTCACTGGTTCTCTCCAAGAAACAAGGCCTTTGGAAGATGCACATGTGAAACAGCCCAGCATGTCCGCCTGCATCTGCATGTACTTGTATGCGCATGTGCACGTTTGTGACAACACAGGTGTGCGCATGTATGTTCTTGAGAACTGCACGGAGCATGGAAACAGGCTGATAAAAGGATTGCTGCAACTGTAGAAAAAATTAAGTCAGGTGTATCCTGCCAGTGGCTCTGGAAGGCCACAGCCATGGAAGGGCAGGGAATATCTGTCCTTTTCTATCAGGAGGCCCTGAGGCCCCCTCCCACCTCTTGGTATCACTTCCTCTGGGATCTGCAGTGGCTCTGAGTTCTGGCTCTTGCTATGACCTCTAGTACCAGGGTGCCACTCGATCTGTGTCACCTGTCACCCGAGCTAAGTTTCTTTGTCTTGGTTCTCCTATGTGGGCAACGGAGTTGGACTGGGTAGCCACTGAGTTCCTTCACCCCAGGAGAAGAGGATGCCCAGATTCTTCCGGGGGTGGGACTTCTCTTGGGGGAGGGGTGTCAGTCTCCAAGACACTGGTTATATTTAAACTGGCCTCTCAAACTGCCTCAGGGGAGATTCTAGAACCAGAAGGGTCCCTTAGAATCCCACAGAATCAGCTTGTAGGCTTTCACATACATACCACTCCCACCACGAGCAGTTTAATCCACCTGCAGAATTGGAGCTCCCGAATGGAGAAGCAAGGTTTTTTGGGTCACATGGTAGTCAGGATGGGGCAGAGACCTGGCCAATTTGTCTTCATGCACCAACATCCAGCTCAGTCTGTGCTGTCCTGACATCTTCTGGCCTCTTCAGCTCCATTTGGAACCTTGCTAGCCTGAGGCCTTGCCTGTCCCTAGCTTCAATGGTTCACAGGGTCTGTCTTGTGCCACAGAAACCTCAGACTTGGGAAGACAGAGACCATTTTGCCCTTCTCACTCCTGGTTGTCTGGTCTCCCCACAGACTGTGACTTAGAAGGGACCAATAGGCTGAAACATCCATTACAGATGTGAGCCCCTCACTGCCTGGCCGCTCTTCACAGCACTGTCTCCACCTGCACTCTTTCTTCATTTTGCTGGAGAGGAGACAGGTTCACGGCCACGACTGATTCTGACAGGGCACCTTTGTTCAGATTAGCCAATGGTGCCCCTTCTGGGATGATGGGACAAGGTCACTTGTATGTGACAGAAGAGGCACCCTCTCTGGAGTGGCAAATTAGAAAAGCGCCTCCCCTGAACCCAGCAGCCTGGGCCAGGGGTCCAAAATGAGAAGAGGGTGGGTTGCATCACCACCTGGTGGACCAGCCTTGCATAACTTTGCACAACCACTCACATGTTCTTGCTTGAGTAAGTGCCAGCACCAAGACCGGAACCAGGTTCTCTGGTTCTAGATGGTTCCAGTCAAGGATGCTCCATATTTTCTAGGCCCTTTCTCACCCACCAGCCTAAATAACCTTGTGAGGTAGGTTCAATCTGCTCTCTTCCGTAGGCTTAGCCCAGGACAGCCCAGCTGACTTCTAGGATCAGATAATGCCCTGTGAAACACCTCAATCCCTTTCTCCGGTTTTCTTCCCCCAGGAAGATGTGCGACCCTGGAATGACGGCCTTTGAACCAGAGGCTCTGGGGAACCTGGTCGAGGGCCTGGACTTCCATCGATTCTATTTTGAAAACCGTGAGCAATCTCTTCACTCTGGGGTGCCTGCTGTCTGCTTTCACTCCATGGCCTGTGGGATGATGGTACAGCAAGGTGGCGGGCAGGCCCCATGGATGCTCAGGAGCCCAGGAACCTCAGACCCTGTGTGGGTCCCATCTCAGCTCCCTCTCCTAACTCTTATCCAGGAGGCTGCCAGCTGCCCCTCCTGGGGCTAAGGATGGGGCTAAAGGTGCCCCAGAGACCTGGAATGGGTGTAACAAGTCCTCCCAGGCCTCTCCTGCCTCCCATCTTGTGAGGAACATGAAGAGGGGCTTTATTCACACTTTACAGGCAAAAGAGGCTTCCCATCAGGCGTGTTCACCCACCTTAAGTCATTTTTTACCCCCGGGGCCATTTCAGTCACCCAGCTGACTTGTCACACAGGCTGATGGAAGAAGGGCCTGGAGCTCATACTGCTGTGCCCTGCCTGTCTATCTAGGTCTCTGTCTTGCATGTCTGTCCTTCCAGGTCTCCCTCTGCAGGAAAGGTCTTGGCAGCTGTGAAACCAGAGGCTGTCAGGACGCTAAGGCTGGGCCTGACCTGGGGCACCTTCTGCTTTTATTGTCTGTGTCTCAAGTTAGCTGAGGTCAGACCAGAACCAACCAAAGCACCCACAGATTAAAACCTCAGAGCTCAGCATAGGAAGAAAACCCTGGTGGTGTACCCAGGGGCCCCAAGTGAAGGACTCATGCCACTAGTGCGGCACAGATGATTTCATGTCGGGGCAGGTTACCCAGAAAGCATGGTAAGTACAGGCCGACTTGTATTCACTCACTCATCTGCACACACACAGATTAGTAAATCAGTACAGGCAAGCCCTGCTCACCCGTGCTCACTGTGTATGTCCTCCAGCCCCATCAAGGACTGTAAACCTGAGAAGAGGCTTTGATTCCTGTAGGAAAGTGCTGTGGGGTCAGTGAAGAGGTAGACAGCAGTCATACAGAATTATGGATGTGGTAAAAAAATATGAAATTGTTCACAGGAGTTAGTCTGTGCTTACCTCGCTAAGGGGTAATCTGGCACTGCTTGGGGTGTTTACAGACAGCCCATGGAACAGCATTAGTTCACAGGGTGAGAGCACTGCTCCTTCTCTTATTCTCTTCCAATAATTCTGGCACCATCAAGGGGAAAGGCTCAGCGAGGTGCCAGCCTGACTTTAACACCTCTCTGACTTGCCAGTCTCTCGCCACGAGAGGAAATCTTGGGTTCAGATCCCTTGAAGACAAGAGTATGAAACTACAATTGCAGAACTATATTTTGTTTTCACTGGACCTCTTATTTGAATTTTTACTCTGTGGTACTGTGGTTCATTAATGATTATGCTATAAGTTTCTGTTAAATGGGTATAACATAATAAAGACAGTCCGTATAAGGAAATATTGTCATGAGGTTAGTGCAGGTGGCGCTTGTCCACGGTAAAGGTCAGGAAGGCAGAAGAACCTAAATGACTACAGCAGAGGGAACTTCTGTGGTCCCACCGCGGACAGTACAGCAGGAGGAACTGGGGCCTGAGGGAGCAAGCACGTAGCAGCTCCTGGGCCTGACTCACCCCAGTGTCCCTGCCCTTCCGTGCTGGCCCCTCATCTTCACGCCAGTAGCCACCGGCTGGCCTGGAATGCGTCTTTGGCCCACATACTCTCCAACTAAGTATATGGAGCTCAGAGTCTGAAGAACATACTTAAAAGATCTGTGAAAATGGAATTTCCATCTTCCTTCTATAATTCAATCTCTGATTCTCTAAACTTAACAATGAAGATTGGATGCTTGTCAAAGGAGGGGTAGCTGAACCCCAATAGTCTCCATCACCCTGGAGCTCTTCCCATAAGACTGTGGCTACATTATGCTGTATGACCTTTAGAGGGCAATAGTCCCTCAACATGTTAGTTTGAAGACTAAGTGTGCCTGATTCCCACCATGGCCTTTTCAATAACGTGCTGTGCATCTGAGAGCAGACAATGAGTAAGGATGACAGAGGAAGAACTGATGCCTTTGAGATGTGCTGTTGGAGAAGAGTACTGAATAGCTCATGGACTGTCAAAAGAACAAACAGATGTCTTGGGAAAAAGTACACCTAGAGTGCTCTTTGGAGACCAAGATGGTGAAGCTGTGTATCTCAGACTTTGGGTATGTTGCTAGGAGAAGCTAGCTATTCTTTGGGGAAAATATCATGCTTGGAAAGGTGGAGCGTCGGCGAAAGAGAGGAGGACCCTCAAGAAGATGGACTGACGCTGCAACTGCTGCAATGGGCTCAAGTGTACTGGTGACTGGGAGGATGGCACAGGACAGGCAGGGTTCAGATTTGTTGTTCATAGGGTTGCTCTGAGCTGTACTTGACTCTATGGCACCTAACATCAACAGTTCCTTGATACAGACTCATTGTTATCCCATCACGCTGGGACTGGTTGAGACCTGGCTTTACAGGCTCTGGGTGACAGAAATGACCAGAGGCCATGCTGCCCTGGCTTGCTCCATGCAGGGGGTACATCTTAACAGCAGTCTCTGGACTCTGCACTTGAACATCTGGCCACTCTCAAGGCAGGACCCGTGAAAACAAAGCTCAGAGAAACTGCCTTCTCCTTCAAGCCCCCACCTTCCAGCTTTCTCATTTTCCCTGCTCGAGGATCTAGCTCCTCCTGTCACCTTGTCTCCCAGGAGAATCCTAGCAGAAGTGGCCATGTTGGGAGGTAATTTCTTTACAAATGCCTCTCCGGCCTACACTCTCAATGACAGCAGCAAGATCCAGTGTCCCTAAAAGTGCTGAGCTGTGGTTGTGTCTTCTGGGATAATTCTAAATGTTCTGTTTCAGTTCCACGTAGAGACAAAATTTCTTGGGCCCAGATTTTGTGTATGATCTTAAATAAGTCAAAAATCCTGGTTTCAGGAATGAGTCTGGCTAGAGCACAGACGTTGTGCTCGATCTGGAACAGGTCAGACTACCTCAGTGTCCGTCTGTACTAAATGGACCGTTGATATGGATGGTCTTGAGTGTCTCCTACATGACACGCTATCAGGCAGGCATGCTTATAATGACTTTCCTACATTTTGGAGGGGAGCTCTGGTGACTTAGTGGTGAGGAGTTGTGCTGCCTACCCAAAGGCAGGTGGTTCTAATCCAGGAGCTGCTCCCTGGAGGAAAGATGGGCAATTTCCTCTTTTGTGATTTGCTGTTTGTAAAAACTCATTGGTCAGCTATGAGTCGCTTCCAACTTGATGGTTCTTAACAACCACAACATCTTGTAGGACAGCCACTGTGACCTCTGACCTATGAGGATTATTCTCAAGTATATGGTGCAAAAGCTGTACAGTCTGTATCTCTGGAAGTCTAGAATTTCATGAGGCTAAAAGACTATGCACAAGATTTGGTCATTTGAGTCCTTGAGGCTATTCTCTGGAGAAAGACATGATGCTGGGAAGGGAACAGGGTCGGCAAAGGAGAGGAAGACCCTCAACCAGGTGAATTGACACGGTGACTGCTGCAATGGGCTCTTGTGTGTCAGGAAGTGTGAGGATGGCACAGGATAGAACAGAGTTCAGATCTTTTGTTCATAAGGTCACTATGAGTCGTACTCGATTCAACGGCACCTAACAACAAAACGTCCAAAGCTTGAATGTAGCACAATTATGATGTTAAGGGTAGGAGCTATTTAGCACTTCCTGTAATTATGGGGGTGGGGAAAAAGATGTTTTTCAGCAAATCAGTGACTCACAGCTTCACTGTGTCAAAATCAGGGTAGAATGAGAAGGGACTTTTAAAACATTACAGATTCTTGCATTAGAATTACTAAAGGGAGGATGGCGCAGTTGTACTTTAAATAAGCTCACCACATTAACTCAGACCTATGTTTGGGCTACACTTAGGGAAGCCCCAGAGGTTAAACTGCTTAGTTGCTAATAAAACCGTGGTGGTTCAACTGCTTTCCTGGATAAAGACACGATAGTCTGCTTCCATAACAACCTGCAGCCTTGTGAATGAGAATACACCCACGAGCATACACACGCTTGACAGGGGTATGTCTGCATACATATCTCAATGTGTTGCGAATATACTTATGCATTAGCAGAGTATTGAGTGAGTAAAGTCATGAAAACTTCTTGCTGTTGTTAGATGCATGGCAACTCTATGAACAACAGATCTGAACCCTGTTCTATCATGTGCCATCCTCACAATCTCTGACACACTGAGCTCACTGATACCGTCACTTTGTCAGTTCAGCTTGTTGAGAGTCTTCTCTATTGCTGGCACTCCACCTTTCCAAGCATGAGGTCCCTTTCCAAGGAATAGCCTCTCCTACAACATGCCCAAAGTGTGTGACACAAAGCTTTGCCGTCCTTGCCTCCAAGGAGCACTCTGGCTGCATTTTTTTTTTTTTGCAAGACAGATGTTTGTTTTTTGGCAATTCATAGGATATGAAAACTTTTTAGCCGTCACCAGATCCTTTGAGAGAATGAATCACTGAGCTTGGGAACTTTGGACCACAATCTCAAGGGACATCTAGTCATCTAGTGACAGAGGTCTTAAAAGCGAGTAGCAATCATCTAAGATGTAATTATTGGTCTCTCCTCATCTCAGATAAAGAGAAGTTAAACGAACGAAAGACTAATGGAAACAGTGAGTCCAAAGGACTATCTGGAGACCAGAAGAACTCTATGGTGCCTGGCTACCACTACTGACTGCTTTGACTGTGACTACAAAAGGTCCTGGACAGGATGAGAGAAAAACATAGAACAGAGTTTAAATTCTTAAGAAGGTGAGGTCATGGAGCAGCTGAGTGGGCCTGCTCTGCCCGCTGCCCCCTCCCAACTCTGCTGTTCAGCTAGCACCTCCCCACCACCATCACAATCATCTACCAAGACCTCATCAGCCACAGTGAGACGTTCCCAGACATCCACAAGACCCAGAAGACCATGGATGGACTGTGCCTGGACGTGGAAGAGAAGATGGTCAGTAGGACAGGGGGTAACATTGATGAATCGCTCATTGGTGGAAAAGCCTCGGCTGAAGACACCGACTGTGAAGGATCCAAAAATACAGTACAACTGATGTTGATATCATCACGACTCATCACTTGCAGGAAACCAGCTTCACAAGCCTACAAGAGGTGCATCAAGAATTACATGAAATCAATCACAGGCAACCTTGCAGAACAGAAACCTTACAATCTTTTATGACAGGGGCTGCAGAACAGATCAAGCACATCCTTGCTCACTTCCAAAGCTACCAGGTCTTTCTTGGTGGAAACATGCATGGTTGCTCTGCTGGATGACCTTGAGGATAGTGTGGCCTCATTCGTGATTTTCTGTAAGGATGGGTTAGAAACGGAGTAAAGTTCACAAACTTGGTACTCATTTGGATCCATCACCTGTCATCTTAATTGGATGCTGCTTTTCATCAACATATCAGGATTTGGACAAAAGGGATTAGAATCATCTCTTCGTCTCATTTTAACCTTGATGTATTTGGAGCTGAGGTTTTCATGTTTTTTTTAAGGGAAAAAACTAAGTCATAGGTTGTCTAAAAATAAGATGCATTTAAACAAAAAGAAAATTATAAGAAGGGCCACATTTATTGGTCTGAAAGACTGGTGGAACCCGAGACTCCAGTTGTAAGAAACCTTTCAGAGTGAAACTTAGCGCACCCTCAAAAGATCACATTTCAGTCAAACAATAGGCAGGCCTATAGGGGGGAACACCTGTGAGAAATGTACCTCTCAGATCAACTACATAGGACTAAAAGGGCAACATCTGTTCCAAAACAAGACGTTGAAGGGAGGAAGGGACAGGAAAAGAAGAATAAGAGGATATGGGACACCCAGGGAGAGCATGGGAAGAATGCTGTTAATTTGAGGGAATTGCAACTAATTACATTATAAAACAAAATTTGTATAAATTGCTGAAAGAAAAACTAATTCATAAATTTCCACCCATCTACAGTTTAAAAAAAACCAAACGAAAGATTACAACCTTGGGACCCTGTTGAGACAGTTTTAGTCTGTCCTGTAAGGTCACTATGAATTGGAAATGACTTGATGGCATGGGATTAAAGGAAGATAAGATTTCTCCTAAGCCTGAGACCATGGTCCCTTCCAGTCCCTTGTCAGGGCAGAGTTTTTTTCTAGGTTTTTGTTTTCTATCTTAATGAAAAATTGAACGTACTCAGAGCAGCAAAATTACGGCTCATAATTCACATCAAGGGAACTGATTTAATATACTTTTGTCAGTTCTGTAATGACTATAGCAATAATGCATGCATTTCCCTCTAACTTTGGAAAGCTCCATGATCTCACCACATGACTACTAATACTATCCTTCTAATGCCAAGCTTCTAAGATTATGTAATTCTAGTATTTCCCAGATTTGCTTAATACTATGTCTACAGTGAGGTAACATGACCTTCGGTACTCGTCATGTGGTCTGCATGTTGCCTTAAATGTAAATGACCAGTCCCCATTGTTGTGGAGTTGACTCATGACAACCTGCTAAGAGTAGAACTGACTTCTTTATGGAAGATTGCATATCTTTTCCCCTGAGGAACTGCAGGGAAATTAAAACCACCAACTTTTCATTTAGCAGCTGAATGTCTAACCATTGTGGCCCGAAAGAGTCATGTAAATTCAAATTGTTTTTGTTGTTGTTGTTATATGCCATTGAGTTGCTTGTGACTCATAGCGACCCTATGTACAAGAGCTCTAAATGTTGTTCCACCCTGTGCCAACCTAGCCATCTCAAACGCACTCATTCCCACCATTCCAGTCACAGAATCGATCCATCTCATTGAGGGTCTTCCTCTCCTGCACCATCCCTCCACTCTGCCAAACATGATGTCCCTCTCCAAGGACCAGTCCCTCCTTGCAACATGCCCAAAGTATGTCAGACGAAGCTTCAGAATCTGACTCCAAGAAGCATTCTGGCTTCACCCTCTCCAGGACAAACCTGTTTGTTTTCCTAGCAGTCCATGGTATAGTCAACACTCTTCTCCAGCACCACAGCTCAAAGGCATCAATTCTCCATCATCCCTATTCACTGTCCAACTCTCTGATGCATAGCACGTAACTGCAAAGACTATAGCCCAGATCAGGCACACCTTAGTCTCCAGCCTAACATCTTTGCTCTTCCGTACTCTTGAGAGGTCCCTCACAGCTGACTTTCCCAATGCAATTCGTCTCTTGATTTCCTGGCTGCTGTTACCAAGAGTGTTGACTGTGGAACCAAGTAAACTAAAACTGTTAACTATCTCAACCAGAAAAATTCAAATTAGATGTCCATAATTAAAGTGAGGAGGTTTCACATAACCATGTAGATTTCTAGATTTTCTTGAAAATCAGAACTGGTAAAACCAGGCCCACTTACACAGCAACCATTAAAGAGGTGTGCACAAGGCACATGGGACCAGTCTCCATCACCCCCTAGTGTCCCCCTAACACAGAGGCAAAGGATCAGCTGGCATTTATCATCTTCTGCTCAGTTTGTTTACACACTGATCTGGCTGCCAAAGAGATCTGGGGATGAGATTGTAATCTAAATTCATCTGATTCTTAAATCATCTTACTCCTAGAGTTCCATGTGTGAGATACTGTGGTTCTAAAATTCTATTCCAGTTAAGATTGTGAAGAGGAGGATCTTTGGGTGGTTGGTGCAAAGGGTTAGTGTGTTTGGCTGCTTATCAGGAAGGGTGGGTGTTCAAGTTCACTTAAATGTGCCTTGGAAGAAAGGTCTGGCCATTTCTTTAAAAAACTCAGCCACTGAAAATATTATGGAGCACTGTTGACCATGTGTTAAATTAGAAGAATTTGGGGGCATTTTCAATTCACTGAATCTAACCTGGGGCTGGAGGTTCCATTCGCTAGATATTCCACTTTGGCTGCCAGGAACCTGAGCCTTGTCACAGACCTTCCTTTGGATGCTGCAGAAGTGCCTCAGCAGAGAGGGTCTCTGGGAGCGGGAATGAGAAGGAACAGAGGAGGGGCCCCCCAGGTGAATCTCCTCTGCTTCCTGTCACCCCAACCCCGCCCTGCCTCCAGTGTGGTCCCGAAACAGCAAGCCCGTGCACACCACCATCCTGAACCCCCACATCCACCTGATGGGCGACGAGTCAGCCTGCATTGCCTACATCCGCATCACCCAGTACCTGGACGCTGGCGGCATCCCTCGCACCGCTCAGTCGGAGGAGACCCGCATCTGGCACCGTCGGGACGGCAAATGGCAGATCGTCCACTTCCACAGATCCGGGGCGCCCTCCGTCCTGCCGCAGTAAGGACCTCTGCTCCTTTGTCCTACCTCACCTCGGCCTAAGGCAATCCATGGAATGGAGGGAGGTGGTCTAGATCAGGGGCAAATCTGGAAGAACCTAGGAAAGTGGCAGAGAAGTTCAGGGAGCAGACAGTGAGAGGACAGGGGTGGGGGTGGGGTGTGTGTGTGTGTGAAGGTTGCAGAGAAGTGCAAGGAGCAGACATCGAGAGGACCTGTGTGTCCAGATAGGCAAGAGCCACAAGTGGTAGGGAAGGGGAAAGGGGGAACTACTTAAAAAGGAGGTGTATTAAAAAAAAAACAACAACAACAAAGACACACACACACACACACACACACAAAAAAAAAAAAAAACCAGACTAACACCGCAGTCCTTACTTTGCACACCTTGTCTTACAGTTGAAGGACCAGGCCGGGGGTCCCTGCGTTGCTGTGTCACGGAGACCCACTTTTTGTATGGAATGTGGCTGCTGGTTCTCCCTCTTGGATTTTGCTGGAATTCTCCCCACTATGTCACCCTACCATCAACACCACCACCCTACCTGCAACTGCATCAAGAAAACCTGCCAGTTCACAAAAGCCATCGCAACTGCAGAGCAAAAGGCCACACCAACCCCCAGGGCCCGTTCCACCCCGCGGTCTCCCTGCTCTTCCCTGTCCCCATCTTTTCCTCCAGGTCCCCCTGCCAGGTGGGCTTCCCGAGCCTGGGCGCCGAGGGGCGGGCTCGCAGGGCCACCCCACCAGGCTGCAGTAGGGCCCCACCCCGAGGGTGGAACGTTGCATCTGCCCCTTCCTCTCTTTGACCCTTCCTCTTGCAGGGACCCCAGGGAAGGGCAGGTGAGCCCCGCCCCGGCCTCCGCTTCGGGCGGGGGCGCGCGAACACCAGACGTCAAGAGCCCGCCCTCCAGCTGGGCCACTCGTCCCTCGCCCCTGACCTCGTGGTCGTCTATTGACCCGGAAGGTTTTCTTTCTGGCCCTCACCTCCCCCACCACCACTCAGAGCGGGGAGCCCCGCCTCTCAGGTTGCCCCTCCGCCCCCTCGTCTGTCTGTCCTTCCTGCGAGATGCTCGCGCGTCCTCCATGGAGAATTCCAGCATCCTCAAATCTGAGCGAGGGAATCCGATTGTTTCTCGGGGAAAAAGAAAGCAACGTTTAGGTATCACTTCTCCTTGGACCGCATGCCTTTTTATAGCCAAACTTCCGTGTATTTCGTAAATGGATCTCGCGTTCATGGATATTTATGTAATAACTAGACCGCTCCGATTATTGTGAGGAGGGTTGGGTTGGGCTGGGAAGGGGGGTGGGAAGAGGGGTGAGGGGTTCTTCTCGGTTCTGTATCTCGCTTTTTTAAATTTTTTAACTCTTTCGGTCATCTCTGAGGTGGACTTGTCACCAGCGGCTGTGTGGGGTCGAGATGGCCCCAGCCCCAGGGGAGGGTCCTCCCTGAGGTCCCCAGGCGAACCGACGTGGGTTCCCCTGGGGACTGTGGCAGCAGATGTCAGCGGGAGGCAGGCGGGAGGGGGTCAGGATGAATAAGTTCTGGACTTTGCTGCCTTGCCAAGTCATGCTTCCCTAGATTTCATCTACCCACCGCATCTGCTGGGCCCCCAAGTCCTGCCCGCCTCTGGGGACCACGAAGCTTGTGTTTTCATTGCTTCTTTCTTCCCTCGGCGTCTGACAGTCAAAGCAGACGCTGGGAATTTCTCCTCTCCCTGCTGCATCTTGAGCCTTTGATTTGCATCTTCTCTCATTTTTTATTTTTTTTTTTCTCTCTCTCTCTCAATCTCCATCTCTCTCCCACCCCTCCTCTCTCTTCCCCTCTCCCCTGGGAGTGACTCTGATGTAGGCTGCCTTGGTGCATCCACCAGGACCTACTGTCTGCACTGTTTTCTTTGCATGACTTTATATGCAGTAAGTATGTTGAAAAAACAAAACAAAAATGAAAAAGAAGATAAAGCACTCAACAAAAATCAATCTTCATGTTTTGGAAAAAAAAAAAAAAGAGGTTGTATTCTCAGTGTCCGACTCGGAATTATGTTGCTGCCTCTCTGTGCTTTTGGCCTCTGTGTGGCCGTGTTTTGCCAGCATGAGATATTGTCCCCTCTGGAGGATTTTAGGGGAGGAGTAGCCGCATCCCTAGGAATTTGGAGGAGGTTCTGGTTCCCTCCTGGAAGTACCCAGGGCATGCTGTTTGGAACAAGACTGCTGGGGATGTTTGATCCAGAACTTTCCAATTTTTCCCTAGTCACACACTGCCTGCTGGGCTCCGTCTCAGCTCCTGCTGCCCAGGCCGAGGGTGAGGGTGCAGGTCAGACTTCCTGGCTGGGGCGGCAGACCAGGAGAAGGCTGCCCAGGCCCCTGGTTCCCACCAGGGTCCCCACCACCGCCAGCAGCCTCTGTCCTTAGCAGAATCCCTGCTGTCCAGGCCCAAGGCTGGGCATTTGACCTGCTGTGGGCCCAGAGTGAGGCTCTGCAAACTCCTCCTGGCCCTCAAGCACTTCCTTCACCTGTCCACTGCCAGCTCCCCACAACCATCCTGTGACCAAAGGTGGGGTTTGGCCCCACTAGGGGATGCTGTGATCACTGTGGCAAGGCCTGGTCCCTCTTTTTCAGCCTCAGTTTCCTTACTAGTTACAAGGGCTGACGGTTCCCATCTAGCCCATGTTGTAGAGTTGAGGGGGACTAAGCGACCTCCCGGCATGCAGCCCAGTACAGCTGTGAGAGCTTACAGGGCTGGCCACTGCCCGGACTCCCCTTTCACTCTGGGCCTGGCCAGTCCCCCTTCCCTCCCCCACCTGCAGCCCCTTGCTTTCCCTCTCTGGTGCCCGTCAGCTGCTCGCAAGCAGTGGACTGCAGGGGGAAGAGCAATGGTTCAGAGCTCAAGCACTGCTGTGGAGTCAGAAGTGACTCCTAACTGACCTTCTAATATGTTTCCTAGGCTGTAAACCGAATGGGAGGAGATGGCCCATCTTGCTCCCTTGGAGCCGCTGGTGGATTCAGAACACCAGAGAGGCGCGGCCTTTAGGTAAACAGCGCGGCTACCGCGCCACGGAGCTCTAGTAAACCTCAGTTCTCAGCTGTGTGACCTTGGTCGAGTTCATTCCCCTCTCTGGGCCTCGGTTTCCCTACCGGAGGAACTTAAGCTGGAGGACCCCACGGTCGTACTTTTAATAGGTGACACGCCTACTGTGTCCCCTCTTTTCTTCTCCAAGTGCCAGAGAGGTGGAGGCAGGTCCCTACCCCAGGCTGAGATGGCCCCACTGTGTAGGCCACGCCTGTGGGTGGGCAGCCACCTGATAGACCACAGGGTTCTGGGCATTACCAGGAGGCAGCAGGCAGGTGACACTGGCAGAAAAAGCCACCCAGAGCCCACCTAACCAGTCAAACTCTGCTCCTCCAAAACATCCTTTAGATGCAAAAAAAGAAAAATAAAGATCCAAACCCAAGCAAAAACCTAGGCTCTGCCATGAAATGTGTTTACAGGAAAGTCTCCTGGGTGTGTGTCCACTGTGCGGCACATCCTGACCCATGGCTTCCCGTCTCCCTTCAAAGGGAGACTCCCCATGCTGGTTCTTTGTACTGTTTGTTTGGGGTTTTGTTTCAGTTCCTTTCTTTTTTAAAAATATGTGGCTGTGAACTTGAATGACCACTGCTCAAACTTTCTGCTATTGGGGGCCTGGGTGGGGGAGAAAGGGCGTCTGTTTTATTCTTGGTGTTTTCAGTGCAATAAATAGCTACAAACTAATGTGCACTTGATGTCTCTCTGAATTCATGAAACACGGGCACTGGGGCCTCCATCCGCTAGTTGGGAGAGAACAGATCCAAAAGATTGGATCAACTCAGGTCACATGCTCGAGGTTGACCAGGTCATTGTGAGATTATACAGGATCCAGGGCCCCACCATTAAAGCCAGTGAAGGGGTTAGCTTCCCAAGATGCACTGGGCTGCTCTGAATAAGAGGAAAGGGGAGTGCATACAAGATGCTATTAACAATTAATAGTAGAAGTCTCCCTCTGCAGCCTTGGGATGATGCCTTTGTCCTCAAGGCCTCTGGTTCTTTGTACAAGACAGTTGTTTCTAGAGAAGCAACCTCCATTCTTTTCTGTCAGATAACAACCTCACAGGCAAGGCTTCAGCCTCACAGTCCCTGGAGAGGATGGTTTAAAAAGGAGGGGTGGAGGAAGGGTCTCTACACCAACAGAAGTACTGGTGGACCTTGGGACCTGGGATTGGAGAGAGGAGTGAAGAAGGGAGGCTGGTTTGGTTTTCTGGGCCCATGCTACTTGCCTCTGACTACGCCAAGTGATGGTGGTCATGCTCAGAGGCTGTGGCTCTCATTGGCTGTAGCAGGTTAACATCTCTGGTTTATTCATAGGGAACTTTCAGTGCTAAAGGCAGGGTGATCCAGTTCCCAAAGCTATGCCCTCATCTAAGAGACTAGGTCTCCACAGGACCAAAGGATGTGCCCAGGGAGCCCCCACTTCCTCTAGACCATGTCCAGGGCACCATAGTTCCTGTCCATGGCCTGCACCTGCCACTTCCAGGTTCATCCTCACTGCGGGTGTGAGGGTGGCCAAGGAGGGTGTGCCAGTTGCACACACATGAACACCTTCTTGTTTTTCTTGTTCACCTGTTGAACACCTTCGTAGGAAAAGCAAAACCACGTCAGGAAAGATAAAGGGGCGGGCTGCAGAGGCTTCTATTTACATGCTTGTCCTGACCCTGTAAAGGTTAGTGCCAAGCCTGCTTCCAGCTCTGCCTTCATGCTCCTCAGTGTGTGGTTTCCTAGTATCCCTCTCCCCTGGGATTGTTGCAAGGATTGTGAAACTTCATCACACATCCTTGGGGCATGTGGTCAGAAGAGGCTAGTCTTGGAGAAGACCTCATGCTTGGAAACGTGGAGGGTCAGCACACGAGAGAACTGATTGACACAGTGACTTTAGCAAAGGGGTCAAATGTGTCAGAGGTGGTGAGGTTGGCTCAGGATAGGGCAAGATTCAGAGCTGTTCATAGGGTCCCTGTGAGTGGTAAGGCCACTCCCCAGGGTAGTTCAGAAGGGTTTCAGGACCTGGTCTGATATTGCAGGTACTGGCCAGCAGGTGGCAGCAGCACTAGGGCAGGTTATAGGACATTCTTGAGCTTTTGAGTAGCTTCTCTTAAAAAGTATCAATTAAAAAAAAATAAAAAAAGTATCAATTCCTAGCTCTAGTGGCCTAGAGCTAAGAAGCTGCCTTGCCAATCCAAAAGTGTCAATCAAGTCCAAGAGATAATGGACAGAAGAAAGGGACTACCATGCCCATGGCCATAGAGGGATTTGACAAATTCTACTTCTACATTTAAAAAGAGAAAAAGTATCAACTCCATTTAAAATAGTATTGATATTATAGTGGTATTTTTAAAAATACAAGTGGCTCATGA